ATAGAATAGAATAGAATAGAATAGAATAGAATAGAATAGAATAGAATAGAATAGAATAGAATAGAATAGAATAATTCAGTTGGAAGGGACCTAGAACAGTGACCTAGTTCAACTGCCTGGCCACACAGAAGCATAGAATCATTTAAGTTCAAAAGGACCCTGGAGAAAATTTACTCACCCGTAAACCTAACACTGCCAAGATCCCCACTAAGATGTGCCTAAGAGACACACCTACACATCTTTTGAATACCTCCCCAGATGGTGACTCAACCACTTCTCTGGGCAGCCTGTTCAGAGCTTGACCATTGTAAACACCCCCTGATGCAACTTGAGGCAATTTTCTCTCATTCATTCCTTCTGTGAGGAAGATGCTAAGACCAGAGCAGTTGGAGTGCGCACAGACGACAGCACTGGATTGTGATGGCACATTTTGGTGAGGAAGGAAAGGTGGCAAAACACTGAAAAATATCAGCTTTATTATCTGGAAGAACTACAGAAATTCTACCAAGTCTATGCCTAAAATTATTTTCAGGTCAGACAAATTTCCCCATGCACATAAAAGGGGAAAAAGTCTTACCCAAGAACAAGGAATGAGCAACCAGTCCTGGGTGTCATATTGAGAAAGGCTTAGAGGACTCCAAGCAAACCACTGCCTGTCTGAACAGAGTGGTTTCTTTACTCTGTCCCTTCATCCTGACATGGGGATTTCAAGTTAATGAAAACCAGTGGCATTTAACTCAAAATCACACTGTGTTCTTAATATCCGGGAAGAATCCTAGATGCCAAAGAGTAACTAAGATATGGTTTTATAGAAACAATTAGCTTTTTGTCCAAGAATGGGACTCTCAAAAGAAACTGATGACAGACAAAACAACAGTCAAGAATTGTTTCCTTCTAGAAATCTTCCAAGCTAAATAACCAAAACCAAATCTGAATCTTAAAATCTAACCACCTTTTAGAAACCAGCTTGAAAAAGGATACAAATACTCAGGAAACCACATTGCTGTCCTTCAGGCAAAAATGGGATATTGAAAACTTTCCTTTGGAGAATTAGGGTGAAAAAGCGCAACTGAAAACAATATTCAGAATGTCCCACCCAATCTGTAGAAATATTTTATTGTTCTGATAATCTCTAAACAGTTTATTTTAATTATGACCTAATAGTAGTTGAAATTATGAAACAAAAGGTTTGTGAAACTGAAAAAGATGATATTTTCCATTTTGAAATATTTAAATAAAATAGTTTCAAAATTACTTTTTAAAATCTGATTGTTGCCCAAGTGTTAAAAAGTTACTTCAAGTGAACTTTCATCATAGAAGGTTTCAAGATGAAAATGGTAAATGCAGCAGATTAAAATTGCTGTAAAATCCTGGATCAGGTGCAAAGGTAGGGGTAGCTAGAGATGCATAGATTATGGTCATCATCACTGGCAAGAGGCATCATTTTAGCAACATCTCACTAATCTGGTTTTGTCATTACAATCCCACAATTTTCTCCTAAGGTCAATAAAATAACAGCCATAAGCTTCAGTCCCCAATGACTGGCAACTCTGAAGCTAAAGCTAAGATTTCAGGGCATAAATATTTTCAGGTTTGTGATGAAAATCCTCAGCTACCCTTAAAGTGGATTGGAGATTAGAGGAAGGGGAAGCAGATGTGTAACTAAGGACTCACTCAGGAGAGGAAGGGGAAATCTCCTCTGCTCTCAACATGCACCTGCTTATTATCCACTAAGGTAAAAACTCCTGCTTTAATCTGCCATAACTATTAAACTGAAGGGGAGTTAAGAGAATTTAACTCCACAGAGGACTGAGATGTTAAAAAAGTAACATTTGTTACAGTCATTTTGTCACTAAAGGCAATAACAATTTTCCACTCTGTGTGATTTGGTTTTTATATCTTGTTAAAGGCAACCCAGATTACTGGGCTAAAGGGAAGAAGTTGGAAAATCATTCATTCTGGGTCAACATGAATGGAAGAAAGGAAATTGGAGAAAATTAGTTTAAAATGTAGTTTGTGTAAGTGACCAACAGACAGAGTTATAGCAAAAACAACAATTAAAAGCTGAGAGAAACTTGCACATAACAGTCTATTTTCTTTTGAAAACCACTGTTACTGAAAGCTATTGATATTATGAGATTAATATGGTTCAGAAAAAGAGTATTTATAAATATTTTATTAAATATTTTAAAAATAACTTTATTATGACTAGAAAAAGCAGATATACTTTTATTTGAGCACCACAAATTATGTGAAATCAAAACAGAGGGGTCATTCTTGGGCAAAATATGGTCTCTTCTCCTTCTGTAATGGTCACATATCCACTTTTCAGGTTTACTTTATTCGGTATTCATCTTTTTTTTTTTCTGCTTTTAAATACATAATACAATTCAAAAGACACAGGAATGTTTATGAGGCTTTTCATTAAGTCTGACCCATAATGGATTTTGGAAACAATTTTTCTGGTAGGAATTAATCTCTACTAGATATTGAATAGCTGATTGACAGTGAAAAGCAAGAAAAATGCTCCAAAAGCCATTAAGGTTTTATATTTTAAAAATTTTTGGAAAAAATATTAGCCTTTTGAGGATTTTAAATGATAATGAAGCCTAGTGTAATTACTTCAGTGTCAACTGCACTACTGACTTTTTACCTATTTTCCAAGGAGAAATGAAAAATTTGAAGATAAGGGATCTTTGATTTTTTGTTTCTCTCTGCCACTCAGGGGAAAGAGAGAAAAACCCAAGTGAAAAGAAAAAAAAGAAAGAAACAAACAAAAAAAAAATCAATAAAACAGCAAAAGCCCAAGGCAGAGATTTCCAAAATACTATCCAGGAGAAATTCTGCTAATTGCTTTGATTTGCTGAAGTATCCTGCACAGTGATACATCCGTAATTTGGACTTTATGCTGTCGGTAACAGTAAAGCAGCACCTTGGGGACTGGTGTGAGCACTAAATTAGTCAGTGGAGGAGATGCTTGGTAGTGAGGTGTCACTGTGCAGCCTGCAAGCACGACCAAGAGCAAGGGGTGTGTGAGGGAGTAACTCACCCCATCCTCACAGTGCTTGGGAGAGAGGTGCTGGGCCAGCAGGGGAGATGCCATTCCTGAGAGAGGTCTCAGGGTCAAACTGTGCCAAGTGGGAGAACCTTCCCAGTGCCTAGAGTCAGAGCAGGATAGATTGTCTTCTGTTATAATTGTGCTCTGAATTGTGTTTTGAATGATAAAGGGACAAAGCTTGCGGAGACCAGAGCTGCTTCTCAAGAAAACCAAACCGAAACCTTCATTTTTTCTAAAGTCTTCACATTTTCATCAGCACAACAAAACTGCTGTTTTCCACACATCCCCTGCATATTGTACAAGTGCATCATAAAATATTTTCCCATTATGGATTTCATTGTAAGCAAACTACATAAACACAGCTTAATACCTAGAATTTGTCATATTTCTGAAAGACATGGAGGTTGCTTAGGTTGAAAGTGTTACAACACTCATATACTGAATCTGAGTTTCTTCTGAAGAAGCAAAAACTGTCATGATTTTCCATGCATTACTATTCAACTGGATTCTTCTTCACATAAATTATCACCTGAAATAAGGAAAAATCCTTTGCTTGGGCCCCACTTGTGATAAAACTCTGCACATATTCTTTTTTATTCATCCCTAATTGACATATATCCCAACAGAGTACTCCTTGGACTCTGCAAGAGACAGAAATTAAGCTCATCTTCATGACTTTTGCTATTTTTACCTTGTAGAGGGAGAGTTACAGTAACAGCTTTGGTACCTCTCATATTAAAAAGTACTAAAAATTGGACCTGTATTTAGGTTTTGAAAATTGAAGTTTCAAAATTTTGGATGAGATTTCAGAGAGAAAATAGTCTGATTTTTTAATAAAAAACATTATGAAAAATATTGCCTAATAGTGTGGGCCTCAGAGTGTTATTTCAAATAGTTTGTCTCATTAATTGTTCCATTGCAGCTTCTAACATCACACAGAAATGTGGCATGTAATAAATACTATTTTTAGATAACACATTGCACTTTAATGTCATTCTTTGCATATAATACATTCTGCACAGTCTGATATCAACTTTAATTACTACTGGGCACTCTGGAACACTGGTAAAACTAACATTCAGAATATTTTTGGTATTTACCTCATAATTTGGCAAGCTGATCACCTGATACAGGGAAGCTAGGCCTAACAAATTCTTTCTTATGGTACACTGAGAACTGGCACAATGAAAGAGAAAGATATTTTCAAATGTTAAAACAAATTTGGAATGGTGTACAGAAGTGCGAAGTATTAATTTACAACATTAAAGCTTTTGTCAGATTTTAATGTGGAATAAATGCATAAGACACTGAAAATTAACACAATAATTCGTCTAAATGGCATTGTATATCCATAGTTGGATGTCCTATACTTCACAACAATTTTCTAATTATTACGAAACACCAAGACAAAAGACAAAGAAGTAATGAAAACCTAATTGCTTGAATATATTCACTGTCTTATTCATTATTCACTAGCTTTGGTAAAACACTCTTAATAGAGAGAAATACAGAGAGGTCAAATTCAAATTGCTGCTAAAGAAATTCCAGGAACAACCAGTAAGATGAGGTAGCTGGTTATGAGGAATGGAGTGGGTAGAAGGAAGTGGGTGTGGGGTTCATTCATGGGGTCAAAACTGAAAAATAAAAACAGAAGGAGGAATATAGACAAAAAAAATAAACCAGGATGATGTCTTCCAAATATTAACTAATGATGTAATTTTCTATTTGCTTTTTTTTGCACAAGATGCTAGTTGCAAGGACACTGCATCACTGAAAAGTCTGCTAAAGCATAGTACAAAGAAGTCTGTGTACCTTGCTTGAAGTTCTCAAGTTGTAGATGCCAGCAGCTGTTTATATTTCAAATACCCACCTTGTAGTAAACCTAGACTGTCTTCCAGCCCTGGAAAAATTAGGATAATTCGATGACGGGTAATATTTATAAATGTGTAGTATGTTAAATCTCACCTTGAAATTTGTTCATTGGAGCTTAACTGTATGCAGATGTTTGGACCCAAACTTTCAAGTAATATAAGGTATATGAGGGACTGAAAGAGGTGCAGTATTGTTCCAGGAATTCAAAGGTATCATGGAAGTTTACTACTTTTGTGGACCTGAAAAAAGATATTGTACTTTTAATATATTATCAAATACAAGGTATGGAGTTACTCTACAGCAAACAAGAAAAAAAAAATTGGATCCAGCTTTCAGCTTTTGTAATTTTATAACTCCATGATTTCAGTATACCTTAATCAGCTTGGCCAGTAAAGGACAGCAACTAACCTATGCTGAAACATCAAAATGAAAAGCAATTATTCTGAGTACTGAAGGATACTGTTGCTTGCTATAGCTGCTCTTTTGGACCACCAATGATAATCAGTCACTCAAAATATTGTTAATCTTGAGCAGAGATATTACACACATCTGAAAAAACAAGCACCATCGCAAAATGCAGACAACTCAGCTCAGTTCCAGTCTGCTTGGGATTTTCTAGTGTTTCTAAAGGCCAGCTGAAAGAGACGCTTGGGAGCTTCTTGAGCTGTTACTAACCCATCAAAGGTGACTAAATGGCCAGGGAATGGGTATGGGTATGGGTATGGGTATGGGTATGGGTATGGGTATGGGTATGGGTATGGGTATGGGTATGGGTAACTACTACTTCATTTCAGTGATTTCCACCTGCCAGTGTTGCCCTTGTACACTGATTCATTCTGCTCATAATTGTTAAATTTTAGTACCTTAGGATGTTCCAAATTTTGCTGGGATCAAGTTGGGAAGACAAAAGTATCAGTCTGTGAAGAGCCCATCCTTTGTTTTACTCCTTCCAGTGCACAGCTCAGACAAACCTGAAATTTGAAAGCAATGGTGAATAAAAGCTGCAGTACATGGTGACTTATAATCAGGGGATGATTTGGCTCACACTACAGGCTGAAGGAGCCACCCACCCTAGGACTGTGATTTACTCCCATAAAACTCAGTGGGAAAAATTCAGTTTGAGTGGAGTTGGATCAAGGCTCTATATCTTTTTCCAACATTTTGCTAATATTTTGAGATAATTTTCCAGAGCTTGAAAATCTCCAACTGTATATGCTGCATATACATAACATATATTCCTTTACTTAGCAGTATGTATATGTCTTTAACAGGAGGATGAGTGCAGACTCCCTGCTAAACAGGCATATGCCAAAGAAACATCTTGCCCATGGTTTTTAACTTAATTATGTCTTCAGCAACCAGAAGGTAAGACCAGCTGTCCGTTCCAACATTCACAGTGTTGTGGTCTGCAACTGAAATGTCCTGAAAGCAGTAAAATTATGCAGGGTTCAGTGACATGTTTTAATCCACTGATCACTGCCTGGAGTGGATTTGACTGACCTTTCCAGGAAGAAGAATGTTCTTTTTGCCTTATAGAATTAACAAATTATACATCTTTCAAGATTGGATAAGGCTGAGATTAGGGGAAAAAAGGCCACATGTTGTAGTCTTTTTCCTCTCTTGGTAGCTATTTTTGAGTATTCATTACAATGTTTTATTCAGGATGTTGCCTTTTAAAGTTGTGTCATCACTTCCATTGAAAAAAATATTTCCAGCAATATAATGTGGTTTGAAATTTGTGTCTACAAAATCTATCTTTGAAAAGAATATATTTTTTAATTGTAGCAGACAATTTTTCATTCTAAATTAAATTTACAGTAAGCAATGTCTTCATTATTTTTTCTTGGCTATATTAGTCCATTTTCATAAAAACATAAAACTGACAGTCAAGCTTGTACGAAAATGAGAAACGAGCCTGAACCAAATCCCAGGAGAAAAGTATGAGCAGGAAGTTTGCAATCAGGCCATCATCTGCTTCTGAGTCCTTCAGCTAGATAGAATCTTTAGTTTAAAACAATATTGAATGCTTTAGGTGACATTGGGATGAAAGTGTTACATCCATCTTGCCATCACCCCTTTCCTGTGTGGGTTAGACTCCATGGGTGCCAAGAAACATGACCTGCACAGCCCCTGGCAAGAAGCCATGCAGCAACCAGGGAGCAGCTCAGTCGGGGTGGCCCATGGTGGGACCAAGAGTGGGGACCACTGAACTCAGCTTCAGATTGCAGTGTGGGCAGGGGCTTGCTGGCTTCCTGCTACTAACAAACATCTATTTTCTCTACAGTTGTAAGCACAAGTTGTCCACACCACAGCATTGGGAATAAAGCACTTCATTCTATAGGATATAGAATTTTCTGTTGAGATTTCCCTTTTTCTTAGCTTCAAAGCAGGTATGGGAAGGGAATTGGAAGACTTAACAAATCTTGTCCTTTTCTTATATAGTGTTTGAGCACTTGCCTTTTATGCTTCATCTCCTTATGCTGCTTGGAAATAAAAAATGAGAGCAGCTCATCCTGTCTGCTCCTCTGCTGCAAGAATCAAGAAATTTTTTACTGAAATGATACAAGGAATTGATTTAATCTTTTATGTTTGTGACATTTTTTCATCCCTCACCCTGTTCTCTATATATTGTTGCTCTGGAACTATGAACTGTCAGGAGTCAAGGTGGCTATTCAAGGTTGGGGGAGGGTTGATATTTATGGGACCTTTTTGCATCCTCCCAAAGCTCCCAGGTTTTATGGCTGTCCAAAATAATGTGTATTAAAATACATAAGAAATTTTATGACGAAATTCTGGGCAGGTAATTACTACAATGGTTCCCCAAAAGACAACTCCCTTAACATTTTTCAACACAACGTTGTGGAGATTCTCCAGTACAAAAAGAACTTCAGGGTATTCTTTAGCGCCACAGGGCCTTCCTTCTGTGGTGTGCTTTTCCAATAAAATTTCTAGACATCTCTAAGAAGACAGCCTTTTTCTGCAAATCATATGAAATCAAACTTTTACTGAAGAAAAGAATAAATTGGAAATAACAGCCCACGCTTTTTTTTAAATAAGAAAAGTGTCATCAAATAGCTCTTTAATAAAATAAAATTCCATTGTATTTTCATTTTGCAGGAAACATTGATGCTCTTCTACCCTTCTTACACTAATTTTGTCAAGGAAACAATGACCTGCAGAGGTTCAAAGGGTCAGTTGGTGAATTCCCTAGTTAGAGGTATGTTATGTTCAGTCTCTTGAATATATCTTATGATACTTTCCCATCTCTGGAGTATGTAGCTGATCCTCTCAAGATAAACTCTGGTCCCACAGTATCTTACAGATTTAATAGCTGAATGATCATCAAACTATTGAGTTTAACTAAGTCTTTGCATTCTATCTTTCTCAAAACCAATTAAATTTCAGATCAGATCTATCATGTCTCTTTCTGACCTCAACAACACCAAATCTTTGTCCTTTCCTTCATTTTTAGGGAATATGGTTTCACAAGGGAAAAGTTGCCATTGTCAGGTGAGAAATGATTAGCAGGGCCACATCCAGGGTTTGTAAGCAAGAAAAGAGATTGTGCCTAAAGAACACACACCACAGACCTCTAATGGAGCTCTAATGCTTCCTTTTGCTGCCACATCTCCTACCACTATTCGAATATCTCAGTAACATATGCACAGGGTCTCCAGACTTTGTCCTTATAATCACTCTACATACCAGCTCTGTGTCACAGACATCTTTTGTGAAAAATCTTTTCTTTAGGATTTTTCCCCCTTCTGAGAAGCTGTGACCTCTGCAACAAAATGTAAACAATGGTTATCTGCTGCTGTGGAATGCAACAGGTGGATCCAGGATTGGTCTCGGGTGGATGTTTGGATTTACTGACCACTCACGGCAGAGCTGGGTCTCACTCTGTGCTGAGACACAGACCTTTGTTTATTCATTCCTTTTCTATTCTTAGCTTAGTTTGCTTCTGAGAACTTTCCTTCTATTCCTATTAGCCTAGTAATAATGTAATATATATCATAATATAATAAATCAAGCCTTCTGAACATGAGGTCAAGATTCTCACCTCTCTCTTCACCCTGAAGACCCTTGCAAGCCCTGTAACATCTCTGGACAAACCATGGCTGCAAAGCAAGTCAGTCACAGGCTTTGTAAAGGAACTTCTTACACTCACTTACTAGTGGGGCTTTTCAGTACTTAAAGAGGGCTTATAAGAGAGAAGCAGAGTGATGTTCTACATGTAAAGTCAGTGATTGGACAAGGGGTGCAATGGCTTTAAGTGAAAAGAGGAGATATTTAGATTAGATGTTAGGGAATAATTCCTTACTCAGAGAGTGTTTAGGCCCTGGAACAGGTTTCACAGAGAAGCTGGAACAGGTTTCACAGAGGTGATGCCTCACCCTGGCAGTGCTCAAGGCCAGTCTGGATGAGGCTCTGAGCAAGCTGCTCTAGTGGAAGGTGTCCCTGCCCATGGCAGAGGGTTGGAACTCGATGATCTTTCCAACCCATTCCATGATTATCTGATAGGAAACAAGAGAATTACAAATCTGCAGAAGAAAAAACACCATGTCAACTTTCTGCCATATCTGAAACTCTCTGGCCTTCAGTCACTTTTGCCATCCTTCTATGTCATCAACCTTCTTTTCATGATATTTGACTGATTATGACTATTTTTAAATATTAGATTATAACTCTTTTTCCTGCTTTTTTATCATTCTGTTAGAGTTCTGCTTCATTAGAAAAAGGCCTCACTGCTATGGGGATCATCAACTGTTGATGTCCCTTTCACCTCAGATATCAACGCAGTTTTCGCTGAAGGGCTTATTTAATGTTAATATAGCACTTGTAGTACACTCAGAATGACATAATCAGGGTGATAGAGTTTCTTCATTTATAAAGTCAAGGCTGAAGACGGCGAATAAATCAGAAGAGTAAATTTACTTTTTCTGTGTGTACTGTGGCTCAGCATGTACTACAGGCAAAAGATAAAACAGCAAAGAATTGCAGCAGTGTGCTTCAGACTTCTGCTAGATGTGTTCCTACAGGTGAGTAAAGAGGGCATTGATTTTCCAATGTTAAAAAATATAACAAAAAATTCCTAATGGTCTAACTCTTCCAAATGTTTAGTGAAAGCCTGCATTGCTTTGAAGCATTACCACTTGGCTAAGTCAACTCCTGAAAGTTGGACGAGGATGCCCTTGTCAAACCACTGGAATTACTCATTTTGGAGTTGAGTAATGTTACATAGTATTCTTTTGGGGTCATCCATTTAAAAAAATAAAAGGACCCAAAAACTCTCCTTTCTTTCTGTTTCTCATTAAAATCACTGACAGTGGATTGAGGGTCTTGGTCAACAGCAATCTGTGTGAGGCCAGGATTCACACTGGAGGAAGGAAGAACCACAGATAGCAACTTTTTTTTCCATACAAAGCATGCTACACCCACAGTCATTAACAGAGAGTGGGAGGGCAGACAGGTATTATAAAGCATATCCTTCACTATGATACTGTCAATGCATCTTCTGTACTGATTTTTACTGTTTTTTACCCTTTGGGATATCCATAGGGTTGTATCAATAGCAATCCTATGACAAAATACAGCTTCATGCTTGATTTTTGTTACCTGAGGTTACAAGTGACTGTTTAAATGCATGAGTTTTCATACACTGCCACTCATAAACCAGTTAAGTACATAAATGTGTCCCAGTTATTTTCTTTTTCCTTTCATATTTTTGATTGTATTCTATTGAAGAGTTATAGACAGATCTCTGATAGGACCATAGCAACAGCTTTAGGTATTACATTATTTTTGTGGTAAGAGGGGTAGGACTTCCTGCCCTAAACTTTCTACTTTAATGTCTACAGTATGGATGGTTCACTAAACCCCCTTTGGAACCTGTGGGTGAAATGTGTGGGGAGAAACAGGAACTATGAGAATGATGGAAACAGGAAAACAGGAACTATGAATGAATATTCAT